GTGAGCTAGGCTAATGCCACGGCACTCACTCTAGCCCGGGCAACAGAGTGAGACTCTGTCTCAAAAAAAAAAAAAAAAAAAGCTTAATAAGTACTCAAAACCCATAATTTCCGAATTACTCGACTATAGTTGACGGTTGTCTAAGCCCCCGGGGCTGTCTGAGTCTGGACGAAGCCCCCGCTCCCAGCCCGGTCCACGCTGCGTGTGCCGGCAGCCAAAGTCAGCGCGTGGGAGTGTCCACGCCCGCCGTGGAAATCGGCAGACGCTACAGACCTGGGGTTTTGTCGGCCATCTGGACTTCACGGCGTGACCTGGAAACGCTACGGCGCAGGCAAACTCGAAGCGCGTCCTGCCCGCGGCCCCTGCATCATGAGTGGCCCAAAAGCTCAAGGAAATATCCTTCCAGTGCCCGAGGGCTGCCGTCGGATTCCGCAAAGACGTCGCTCAGGAGGCTGATGCGCCTCTTCCCGTCTCGCTTCCGTCCTGCTCACCAAGATGATGACAGTGTCACCCACACTCCGGGGAAGCACGTGTTCGTCACAGGCTGGCTGTAGACGAGGGAGCTGGGTAGCGATGAGCAAAAGCATTCAGGGAGAGTCAGTGGAATTGCTCACTGCACATCCCTTACATCCGTAAAATGTCGAATAAGCTTGTGTGTCCACGGAGGCTTCCGTGTTTGCCCGGAGAGCCCGCTGTGAGCCACTTAGCGGCACAGCACTGGTTGGGAGCGGCTCCCAGGGAGGCCCAGCCAGGCTTTTCACACCTGATTGCTTAAAACCCAAATGGGGAAGGGTGCGGAGGCTGCTTATTAAATGCAGATTCCCAGGCCGGGCCCCAGGCTGGTATGAGGGTGGGGTGGGGCCCACCAGGCTCGGGGGCGACCCCAGGCGTCGCAAGATGAGCCCTCTGTGGGGCTGTGCCTTGGCGTCCCTTGCGGGGGACAGGTCTACGGGGCGCAGCGGCCACCTCTGTTCTCTCTGCTGCCGCCCAGGCCTCCGTGTACTGTGTGGCTGCCGTCCTGTGGACAGCAGCCAAGTTCAGCGTCCCGCGTGACCACAAGCTGGCCCTGCCGCGCAGGCTCAAGACCCTCCTCCTAGACATGGCCCGGCGCAGCACCCTGGAGCGGCCATCCGCGGCTGAGGCCATCAAGGTAACTGCATGGCGGTCGTGGCCCCAGCTTGGAGTCCACGGGCTTCGGGCGCTGGCCACTGCCGTGGAGCTGGGCACGCAGGGGCCGGGAAACAGCATTCAGGTCCTCCTTTCTAGGAACAGTCAGCCTGGCCGTCGTGGGGAGGGGAATGGGTTTGTTTCATCCACGGCCCATCCACGTGGGCGGACAGCGTGGGGTCCCTGCTGCTCCCGTGGCCACTCCTCCGGGGGACCGCACTCTCTCCACAGTGTCCAGTGGCAAGAGAGTGGGTAAGGGTGTCCCCCTGCAGGACCTGCAGCCTCAGGCCACCTCCTCTGTCCCACAGGCCTCACCCCTCCCCACCTGGTCCCAAAGCTGGGACTCGGACCTCAGGGCTGGGTTCTAACCACCCTCCCGCGAGGGACCTCACCCGCGCCCCACGGGCAGAGCGGGTGACAGAGTGGGACCCCGCAGTTGTGAGGCCACCAGACCTTCTGGAAGGAGAAGCCACGTGTAGACAGGCAGGAGATGGCTGTGGGGGGACCTGGGTCTGTGACCCTCAGCAGGTCGGTCACGTGAGGACAAGATCGAGTGTCAAAGTGGTGGGCGCAGGTTTTCCCAGGAGCTGCCAGCAGCAGGGCACACGGAGCCCCATCGCCCCTGGTGGGGCGGAGGCTTCCGGAGGGAGCATGGGCCGGGAGGGAGGGGGTCTGGGGGCCCGACCAGCATCCCTGGGGAGTGACCGTGGGAGCCAAGCCAGCTGTCTGCCCTTTCTGGTAAACGCTCCGAGAAAGGACGGCCGTGGGCCTGTCTGGTGTCACTGGAGCAAGCAGCGAGCGCTATGAGGCCAGGAGCTTTCTCAGAGGGGGGCTCCATGGAACGGGGCTGGCGGCTGCAGCGGAGCCCTGTCGGACGCGTGGACGTTCTCCCTGCTCTCAGGTGTGCAGCGGTTACCTGCTCCAGCGGGGCATGGACAGCAGGAAGGTCCTGGCCCACCTGCGGGCGTCCACCTGCGAGGTAGGTGTGCTCCGCGGCCGCTCCGCCCCTTCCCTCCGCCTTCCTCAGCTTTCTCCCTCCCGCTGCGGGCGGCGCCAGCACAGCAGGGTCCACCCCCCGCGCCCAGGCCTCTGTGGCACCTGGGCCGGGCCCTGTGTCCTTCCGCCCAGGTTTGCCAGGAGGAGCAGAGCATCGGTCTCCAGAAGGCTTTCTCGGTGGTCGAGCTGAAGCCCAGCGCGGCGCCCGCTCCGGAGCCCGCCCCAGGTGGGCCCCCACCCCACACCCAGGCCACCCCGCCCTGAGTGGACACACAGAACGGATGTCTCCTGGAACCTGGGGGCAGCGTGCCCAGCTCTCGGCCTGGCCCCGCCTCCACCTCTCCCGAAACTCCCCGTCTCAGCAGCTGCTCTGCCCCGGCCTGCACACCCACACCCTCCCGAGCCCACGTTCCGAGACCCCCGGTTCTCCTCCTGCCACACGGGGCCCACCAGGTCTCAGCGCCCCCTCCCCTGCTGTTTCCGGCCTCTCTGGCCTGTCCCCAGCACTAGCCCTACCCCAGGCACCGGCCACTCCTGCCTCCAGCTCCAGGCCTGGCTCAGAGGGGCCCTCGGGGACCTGGGGAGGGCGTGTGCGGCCCCACGTGGCGGGAAAGAACAGCCAGCGGGGCCCTGGGCTCCCAGTCCCCCAACACCCACTGCCCCGTCCCCAGGCTTCGCGCCGGTCAGCAGCGATGCCAGACTTGTGGCCGTGCCAGGGCCTGTGCCTAGCCGTCCCCCGAGCTGCAAAGGAGCCACCCAGCTGCCAGCTGCCCTCACCTCTGCAGCCACTCACTTTAGGCCCATCGTCCTCCCACAGGACACAAGTGTCCCCAGGTGAGTCTCCCCAGAGCAGGTGGGTCCCCAAGCTTGGGGATCCCTGCTAAGCTCTCCGTTCCCCCCCACCCCGCAGGGACCAGCTTTCTGAGAGCCTGGGGCCAGCGGAGAGCGGGGAGGAGGGGAACAGCCGGCCGCAGGGCGATGGAGAGGGGAAGGGCCACCCCAAGTCCCCCACTGGAGACAGCCTGGAGGCGCCTGGCCCAGGGCCCCAGGGAGCAGCCCCGGAACCTCTGGGGGAGCCGGTGCTTCCGGACTGGGCCCAGGGGCACCCCCATACCCTGGTCCCCGAGAACCAGCTGGAGGGGGCCTCACTGGTGACTCCTGGCTCCGCTGCCCCCACCCTGCCCCTGAAGCCATCGGTGCCGCCCCCACAGCAAGGGACCGATGGGCAGATCCCACCTGCAGCCATTTCTGGGGGCCTCGGGCCCTGCCCCCCGCTTAAGCCGCCCCGGAGCAAGGCCACCGATCGCTCCAGCCAGGAGCCAGAGGGCCCCCGACCACCCTCCCGGGGCACCTCCCTGGCCGGGGGGCGCGCAGACAACCCCGGGAGCTCCCCGGTCAGAGATCGTGGTGACGGCGTCCCGGAGAGGCCCCAGCCAGCAGACCGCAAGCTCTGCCTGCCCGGCGTGGACGCCTCACCGCTTGCGCAGAGGGCGGCCTGCCCGGCGCTGCAGGAGGCCACGCGCCTGATCCAGGAGGAGTTTGCCGTCGACGGCTACCTTGACAACGGGCTGGAGGCCCTGATCATGGGTGCGTGGGGCGCAGGGGCCCCCGGGAAGCCCCAGGGCCGGGGAGAGGCTGCAGCGGGCGTGGGCAGGGCTCGGCCCTCCAGGGAGCGGTGGGCGCAAGGGGCCGCCCCCCCCAGCCCAGCCTCGGCCCCTGAAGGCTGCTCCCGCCCCGGCTGAACGTGTCGCCGCCATCTCGCAACCCAGGGGAGCACATCCTCGCCTTGAAAGATCTCACCTTCGCCACCTTCTGTGGCGCCGTCTCCGAGAAGTTCTGCGACCTCTGCTGGGAGGAGAAGCTGCTGCGGAGCCTCTTCAGCGTGGTGAACGGGCGCACCTCGCCCGGGAGGTGAGAGCCCACGGGGGCCCGCGCTGCGCGGTCAGGGTGGCGACAGCCCCCGCCTCAGAGGCGGGCGCAGGATGGGCACCGCCCACGGGGGGACGGCCACGGGGCACAGGCAGGAGAGGAAACCACAGACCACGCCAGGGCCTGGCGACCAGAGGACGAGCCCCTCCCGAGTGGCACCTGGGACAGCTGCAGAGGGGGAGCCGGGAGGGTCCCTGGGCCAGGCCTACAGCCCCCCGGACGCCCTGTGCTGAGGGACACGTGGGCCCCCAGCACCAAGCTGGGGGACAGTCTTCGCTGTTGGGAGCTGGGGGGGCCCCTACCTTGTTCACAGCCCCACGCGGGGCCTGCATCTCCCCGACCCCAAATACGCGTTTCTGTGGCGCTGAGAGGGGCCGTCCCAGACTGATCCGGATTCCGTCTCGGGACCCGAGGTCCTGTGGGCGCCGTGCCCCTTAGTGGTCCTGAGGGGCGAGTTCGTGAGCACCCATCGCCCCCGCTGTGGGCTCTGCGTGGCCACGTGACCCTGCTAAGTCCCGCTCGTACACGGGAGTGGTCCATGCCAGGCCCTGAGGGGGGGGTCACCACAGAGACTGAGGCCTCTTCCCAGCTGGCGGGGGCGGGGCATCTGACCCGCATTCTGCGTTTTCTCGTCAGCGCTTCCGCGGAGGCTGGGCCGCAGCCCGAGCGCAGGCTGAGTGGCTGCTCACCGTCCAGCCAGAGGCCCTCGCTGCCCGGCCCGGGTAAGAGCTGAGGCTGCGCCACGCGGGCTCCGGGGAAAGTCGCCCATAGGGCTCCTTGCGGGAAGGGCTCCCGGCCTCGAGGGTGCCCCGGGACCCCAGGGCTTGTCCTGTGAAGGGAAGGATTTCTCCCCGCAGCGAGCAGGGCTGGGGCTGTCAGGGGTTCCTGCCCTCCCCACCAGCACGGGGGGAGCCAGGGAGTGGGGTGGGGGTCTTGGGTCTCCGAGGACAGACACACTGCCAGGACCAGGGGTGGGTGACGGGTGGAAACTTGCCACTTAGAACCCCGAAGCTGGCTGTCCCAGGTCCTTAGCCCAAGGCCCCCAGAGGATCTTAAGTCCCGTCTAGGGCAGGCAGAGCGGCGGGCATTAGGGACGGGGTGTGGCTGGGGTGGCCCTCGGGTCTTCCCCCGCCCAGTGACCAGAGCCTCGGTCATGGGCCCGGGCCGGTGCTGGCGAATCAGAGAAGCGGTCAGCACGCCGGGCACGGCACCCACCACTCCAGCTGACCAGGGACGCTCAGGAGAGCTGCCCAGCACAGGTGGAAGCATTTGGCCTTGAGCGCCTGGGGTGCGGCTGACGGGTTCGCGTGTGAAAAATAAGACCCTAAGACCCGGATTTGTTTTGGGACCAGAGGGCTGCGTCCCGGCGGAGGCGGGAGCCAGGGGAGGGCAGGGCCGGACTCTGAGTGCACACAAGGAGTTTGGAACGGAGGGAGACCCGGTGGGGCACTCTGCCCACCGACGGCCCCTCCAGCTGCAGTTCATCGCCCCAGATCCCCGCTCGACCCTCCCAGGCGCTGCCGGGTGACCTGCCTCCTTTCTCTCCAGGAAGGGAAAAGCCCGCCGCGGCCAGGACCAGCAGAGCCCCCAGCTTGGCCCCCTCCCTGCCGGACGCCGACTCAGACGAGCTCTCACAGGGGAACTTCGAGGTGGGGTTTCGGCCTCAGAAGTCCACGAGAGCGGAGAGGGAGCAGCAGCCCGAGGACGGCCGGCCAGCCTGGGGGGCCTCAGACGCGGAGGCAGCGGCCCAACTAGCCAGGCCCGGGGAGGGCGGCCCGGCGGTGTCTCCCGGCCCAGCTGGGGTCCAGAGCTGCAACCCCGGCTGGTCCAGCGCCTTCTACGAGGCCGACTGCTTCGGGGCGGACGTGCACAACTATGCGAAGGCCCTGGGGCGGCCCGCGGCCGGCGGGCACTCACAGCTGGACACCCAGGCCCCGGTGAGTCCAGGCGCCCGCCGGGGGGTCCTCACAGTGAGGCCTCCTCCAAGCAGAGTTTCCGCGACACCCCAGGGGACAGACGGTGCCACTAGCGCAGGAGCCCCCTCCCTGCCAGGGCCCCCCACAGTGGTCTGGGCCCCTCCTGTGCTGCGCTCACCTGCATGAGACCCTCACGTCTAGGGTGGGGCACAGCTCTCCTCCTGTGGTAGCTGGGTGCGTGGTCAACAGGTGACAGGCTCACGGAGTCTTGCTTGGGCCGGGCTGTGTCTCGCTGGGGCAGGTGCAGCCTCCGCCCCGCTGACCCCAGCCTCCTGGCTCTGAGGTCAGAGAAGGAGCCTCGCCGTCCTGGGGCTGAGCAGCCAGGCCGGCCACCCTGTGTGCGGGAGCCTCCGCAGGGCTCTGCATGGGAGGCTGCTGCCCCCAGGAGCCAGAAGCCCTGAAGTCCCAGGCGCCCAGGGCAGTTGGCAGGAGGGACCCATGCAGTGGCCTCTCCCTGCGGTTCACTCTCCACCTCCAGCCTCCAAGCCCGGGCAGTGCCAGGCAGGGAGACAGCACCTCCCAGCCTGTGGTGTGGGAGCCTGTCCTGGAGGCTTCTTCCCCGTCCCCTCTGCTGCCCTCTGAATTTCACGTCGTTGCCTGGCCCAGAAAGTGACCCGGCCTCCTCGGGAGCCAACGCGGGGACAGGGTGACGCCCACTTTTACTTGGAATCATGCGGTTTCCTCTGGGCCGCGTGGCAGGCGGGGCGTTGTGCCATGGCCTCTGCATGCGTCCCGGCCACGGGCCTGGCGTCTTGCACTCAGGGCTTTAGGACTCGGGCCTCCCCCGGGGCTCTGGCGAGGAAGGGGCGGCCTGCGCAGCCACCCCCAGACGACAGGGCCCACGGCGCTGCCACCTCTCAGGCCAGACGGAAACTCGCTGCTGCCGCACCAGCGTCTGGACCTCCGACCGAACAGAGACCCCAGTCTCTGCAAGTCCCCCAGCGGGGCCCGGCGCTCACCCGACTTCCCTCCTCTGGTGTGCGTCTACACGGCAGCGCCGCGGAGTGGTCGGTTCCAGTGTGCGTCTACACGGCGGCGCCGTGGAGTGGGCGGTTCCAGTGTGCGTCTACACAGCTGAACATCAGTTCGGGGTAGAAGACAGACACGTGGACCGTGTTTTCACTGAGACCACCAAATATAGGGGATTTAAGTAAAAATGTCGCCTACATTTTTTACTTGTAAAACCACTCAAAAATAAGCACTATCAACAAATTCAAGTCCATCGTGGGATGGTGAGATTTGGGGAGAGCCGTGTTTGGATTTGAGCCAACAGACTTCGCAAGAGCAGCCCAGAACAGCTCGCAGGTTAACTGCCCTGGAGGGGCCGTCTCAGGGCCCCGGGCGTCTGGAAGCCTCCCAGGATGCAGTTCTCCGTGAAGTCTACGCACTTCCGCCGCCTCCCGCCCCAGCCGGCCCCTCCCAGGCCCACACCCCGTCCTCCTCCTGCAGGAAGAGCCGCTGGAAATCGAGGCCCAGCGCACAGACCCCCAAGACGTCCCAGACCCCTCGTCACCACAGAATCACTGCCCTCCTCAGGGGGCACAGGTGGGATCCTCTGTCCTCGCCTCCGCGAAGGGAGGGGCGACTCCAGATTCCGGCTGTCCCCACGCTCACTGCCCCCACCAGGCCACCCCTGGGCCGCCCCCGCCCTCAGCCTCCGTGTGAGATGAGAACCTGCCTGTCCCAGGAGACTGTGTGTGTGTGAGAGGCGGCCGCCAGGCGGGCGGCGAGCTGGGAGAGTGCGGCATCTTCCTCCTGGACATCCAGGGTCTGCTGGCCCGGCCCGCGTCCTGCGTCCCTCACGGAGAAGCTCCCGCTCCGTCCTCTGGGCAGGAACTCAGATTCTGGGCACGTTCAGCAGGCTCGCACGCAGGTGTGCCCTGTGCACACGCTCTCGCACTCGCGCAGAGCGGCATGGGAGGCCGATGGCCGGGCAGCAGGTTCCAGGGAGGAGGATCTGCACGGGTCGGCGCAGTCGTGCCATTGGGCTTCTTTAAGCTTAATGTAAAGCGAAAGGCAGGACCCGGGAGACACGTGTGAGGCCGTGGCCCCATAGCAGAGCCCTGTTCCCTCAAGGGCCCGAGTGCAGGGACACGGTGGCCACACAGCTGTGCTGAGGGAGAGTGCTGCTCCCTGAGCGTCCCTGGGGAGGGCCTGACTCTGGCAGAGGGCGGCAGGCAGCCCACCCACCCCGGCACTGCCCTGTGGGCCTGGGGACCGCGGAGGGGCCTACCGGACCTCAGATGCCCGGAGCCGGGTGGCCGCGGCCTGCCAAGCGCGCCTGGGTCTCCCCAAACCTGGAGTCTGTGCGGGGGAGGTGCTGCGCGCTGCGTGTCCCCGTTGCAGTGCGTGTCCTGATTGCGGTGCGTGTCCTGATCACGTCCCGAGTTGCAGTGAGTGTCCCCATTGCGGTGCGTGTCCCCACCGCGCGGCAGCCGCGCTGCCCCAGGCTGAGCCGCTCTGCCTCCTCTCCAGGAGCTGGAGCAGCAGCTCGTGATAGAGCAGAGAAACTACCGCAAGACGCTGAAGTTCTACCAGAAGCTCCTCCAGAAGGAAAAGCGCAACAAAGGTAACCGCGGGCCAGTGCGGCCAGGGCAAGGCTCACCGGTCCCCGCGTGACGGCTGTGCTCCCCCCGCCCCCCACAGGCTCCGAGGTCAAGACCATGCTGTGCAAGCTGCGGGGGCAGCTGGAGGAGATGAAGTCCAGGGTGCAGTTCCTGGGCCTGGTCAAGAAGTACCTGCAGGCAAGTGGCCTGAGCCCGCGGATGGGCGGCTCCGGGGCCGGCGGGAAGCCCAGGGCGGGTGGTTGACGAGCCCCTGGCTCTGCACACGCCCAGGTCCTGTACGCGGAGCGCTGGGGCCTGGAGCCCTGCGCCCTGCCAGTGATCGTGAACATCGCGGCGGCCCCCTGCGACACGCTGGACTTCAGCCCGCTGGACGAGTCCTCTTCCCTCATCTTCTACAACGTCAACAAGCACCCGGGCGGTGGCCGGCAGAGGAAAGCGCGCGTCCTGCAGGCGGGCACGCCGCTGGGGCTCATGGCCTACCTGTACTCCAGGTGCGGCGCCCCCAGCAGGCGGGAGAGAAGCTGGTTCAGGAAAACAGAAAGGGCCTGGGAGGACGGAGGCGGAGAGGCCCTCGGGGTGTGCCTGGCGCCCCGGGCCCCGCACAGCTAACACGCGGGGGCCCCAGCGGGCCGGGGCTCCGGGCTGACCCTCGGGCCGTGGTCTCAGCCTCCTCCGCACCCGCGAGACCCACGCCCACCGTGGGGCCTCCGTGCTGTTATGGGGACACGCATGTGTGCGTGTAAGTGCATGCACGTGCACTGTGGTGTGTGGTCTGTGTGCATGTGTGTTGTGTATGATCATGCATGTATGGTTGTGCATGTGTGATATGCACAAGTATGCACATGTGTGGTATATTGGTATTGTGTGGTGCAGGATATGGTTGTGCATGTGCAGTATGCATGTGTGGTGTGTACGTGGGCATTGTGCATAGTGTGTGGTCATGGGGGTGTTGTGTGGCATGTGTGATGTGAGTGGTGTGTGTGGTCATGGGTGTTTGGCATGTATGATGTGTGTGGCATGTATGTGTGGGGACATGAGTGATGTGTGTGGTGGGGGTGGCATGTATGAGGTGTCTGATGTGTTCAGTGGGGGTGGCGTGTGTGAGGTGTGTGGTGTGTGGTGGGGGTGGCGTGTGTGA